GAGCCCCGCCTCTCCAGCCGGGTCTGGCTGGGCGTGTCAAAGGGTCCCTGAAGGTCCCCGCCCTCGGTCTCATCCCTCTGTCTGTCCACCCGGTGCTCCAGAGCGAGGCAGGGGTGAGTGCCGTGGTTCACCGCATCCCCTGCCGGGACATGCCCCCCACGCTCATCCGCACCAACTGCTTCACGGCCAGCTTCCAAGGCATCGTGGACGCCTACGGCGTGGGTCGCTACCAGGAGGTCAATCCCGGTGAGAGCCATGGAGCCCCGCGGAGTCTCCCCACTGGGCCCGTCCCGCCCTCTTAAGTTGAGAAGCACGCTCCCAGCATTCCGGGGTGGGGGTGGGGGTGGGGGGCAAGGGGAGGCCACGTGGGAACTTTGTGTTTATCCCCAGCACACCCCCTAGCGAGGCTTACGAGGGGTCCAGCGCGGGGCTGTGCAAAGAACAGGTTTTGCCGTAGAAACAGCTCAGGTTTGAGGTCCCACTTAACTTGGCACATTTCATCGTTTCTCTGAGCCTCAGTTTCCACATCTGTAAAATGGGACGCATAGTTCGGCCCTCAGAGCGGTGCTGGGAAGGCTGCCCGTCGTCAGATCGCAGGGCAGCAGTCCTTGAGGCCAGAGTTAGCCGGCCCACTGATGCGCTTTTAGGCCGCACCGTGTTTGTGAGAAGCGTGAATTGGGGGCCGTCGGGCTCTCCCAGGAGCACACCCTGAGGTGGGGACTCGAGAAACCAGTCAGGGACCAACTGAGGGCTGGCGAGTCGGGGGGGGCCATAGGGGGCTGGCTCTCCTCCCTCCCCAGCCCCCTCTGCACTCCTGGGGTACCTGGTCTGTCACCTGCCTGGTTCTTCTCCCTCCAGACACGGCTCTCCCTCCAGCAGGCTGGCTGCAGTGTAGCCAGTGGCCCAGCGGCCCCCGTGTCACCGGGTGGGGACCACGGTGGGTCTCTGAGCCCAAAGAATGGGTGTAGGAGGTGAACCACGGTGGGGCCCGGTTTTGGAGAGGACTTAGTAATTGGCCAAGGAAGGGTCCTGCCTCACCCAGGGGGCTAGAGGCAGGGTGCTGGGACCCCCCGAGGTGGCCCAGGCAGGACGTGAGAATGGAACCATCGAGTGAACGGTGATCAGGGCCGTATGCAGCCCTTCGGGGCCTGCCGTCCCTCGGGGTCAGCATCCTGGAGCTCGACCTGGGCCCCTCCCGTCTCGCGTGCTCACAGCTCCTCCGTATTAGCAGATGCCAGTCCAGCTAGGGCAGCTTGACCACCAGGCGGCCAGTTGACAAAATGCCACCAGCTCTCGGAGCAGTCACTTTGGGGGGTATCAGTCCGCCAGGGCTGGTGCAGCAAAGCACACAGGTCGGGGCTTAAACCACGGGTACTTCTTGTCTCCCAGTCCAGAGGCTGGAAGTCCGAGGTCCCCGTGTCCGCAGGGCCGCTTCCTTCTGACGGAGACTCCATTCCAGGCCGACTTCTGTGCTTGGCTTGGAGACGGCCACCCTCACGTTTAAGCGGCACTCTCCCACGGAATGCGTCTGTGTCCGAATCCCCCCCCCC